AAGCTTGTAATAAATGTAAAAATGTTTAAAATAATTGTTGCAGCTGTGACGACTGTCAATATATTGGCCACTAATTGGTTCATTTTGTCAAGAATTACGCAAAATGTCTAAACAGTTTCGCTCTTTGTCCAAATATACAATAAAGTTGTTTTGTTTGCATAATTAATACTAGCCTGAAATCCCAAACGTTCGACCGCCTGATCCCAGTCATGCCGTTATACTCGTAAACACAGCGGGTAATGCGAGCACACGCAAAGATATCTTTACTACTCTATATTCCGTATTACTAGGCGATTAGGTTGTATTTAGCCCTAAAGTTGACACGTAATAGGGTTGTCAAAAATCATTTTTGTTCCTCTCGTACTTATTCACTTTACTTTTTTCAATAGATAAAACAATGCTCATAATGAATGGTATTATAAACGTAATTACGCTTTGTACATTCTCGTTTTGTTTTACGCAATGAAATAAATAATTTATGAGGTTTAAAAATCCTAACTTCAGAGTATTTTTTGACAATGTTTTATTATATTAAAAGAAACATTGTAACGTTACCATGAAAATACAAGATACTTACTTTAAATAAATTTCTCAGGAATAATCCATTGTTTTTGGTTCCGTAGTAAAAAAAACGAGGATCTTTATATACAACGCGGCAATACGGTACCCACATATTCGAAATAACAAACTTACTTAATAGTTGAATATATATCATATTCTCAAAAAGGTTTCATAATATATCAGTACTTAGTATAACGCGTCTTTTGGCATTGAAAAATATAAAGATAGAATATTACAAACCATTTTATGTGTATCATATCTCTCACTATATTAATTATACTTTTCGCACTTTATACACCTTACCAAAGTACTTACATAAGATACAGATCTGATAGAGGTTTTGTAATATAGTCGCCCCCCGGTGTGCTAAGGCGCCGTGATGGATGGTCACTTTATTGAAAACCAATAGCAAGGTTACTTTATCCCGCACCGCATAGTGTGTGGTCACGCGAACTCCAATAAAATTGTTGTGGCAGTTTTAACTTAATTATATTCTACTGTAGAAACTTGGTTATACTGGCATCTGATGAAAGTCTCAACTAAATTCTAAACAGCTAACTCGATGTTATATTTATGAAACGTAAAATATTTTAGTAGAACGTACATATATTAGTTATTTGCACCAGTTTCGGTTCCTATTACCGCCATTTTGGAATGTATTAATATATTTTTTTGCGCCTAAGCGTATCTTAATGAATAACATAAATTTAATTAACCATATAATAAGTAGTTATAAAAACAAATTATAAGGTGTGTTTAATTAGTTTCATTTACTCTGTTAGTTTATTATAATTACAGTCTAGTTTTTCAAATAAAAGGCAGAGATAATAGAAACAGATATCACGTTATTATATCGACATCTATCATGAATAAACAAATAAACGTTAAATGTAACAACTAATGTAATGTGTTTAATAACATAACATAATTACAAGACAAAAATGCTGTACAGTCTCGTGATATTACTTCACGCAAACGCTTCGAATTAGTGAAATAAAAACATGAGAAAGGCGGTGTAATTGAGCCGAGATGTATAGTTAGTGTACGATTATGTTTTTACGCGGCTGTTTTAGTTTGCGGTTAGGTCACGAATGAGAAAAACTAGGCACAAGAAAGAACGGTGAACTGAAAGAAGGGAAATTCGGAATAAGGCAATAGAACCCAAGGGGCCAGCAGCTGGCCGACGTCATGGAGAAAGAGGGACTATTTATGTTAAACTCTTTCTACCAAAAGTGGCCCCATAGAAAGTGGACCTGGTCGAGCCCCGAGGGTTCAACAAAAATGAGATTGACTTTGTTATGACAACCAGACGACAAAAGTTCAGTCATGTCTTCGTTCAGTGACGTCTTACCTCTCGTGCTCTAATCCAAACCCAGGAAAACTTTCAGATCGAGTAACAAAATCGTTTTTATTTCCTAAAAGACTGCGATGAAGTGGAAGATATGAATGACAATCTTGTGGGAACTGTTCATAGGTTCATGGTAGGGTAGGGACTCAGTTTAAAGCGACTGCTACCCAATGTCGGAGGGCCATATGCTAACTGCCGCCACCTCTACTTGGGTGAGGTTCGGTCCATGGCTTTGCATGGGGCCCCCATATTGGTATGGGCTCTGACGAAAAGAAGAAGTCGGACGTCGGAGTCGTACTAGGGTACCGGACGATCTCCTATGAGGCGGCATGTGTCTTGGCGGGGTTCCCACCCTGGGATATGGAGGCAGAGTTCCTTGCGTCTCTGTACGATTGGCGCTCGGAACTTCGACATCGAGGGTATTGTCCTTCTCCTAGAGAGTGGCAATCGCGGAAGCATCACGCTTGGCAGCTTATGCTTGAAAAGTGGAAAGAGCGTCTAGCTCACCCGAAGGCAGGAAACAGGACTGTCGAGACTGTTCGTTCGGTCTTGCTAGACTGGTTGAACAGGCGGCACGGGTTACTGACCCTCTGGCTGGTACAGGTTGCTTTCCGGCCATGGGTGCTTTGTTAAGTATCTGTGCCGTATAGTCAGAAGAGATCCGACAACTGAGTGTCATCACTCTGGTAGCGACGAGGACACGGCGCTGCATACCCTAGAGGACAGCCCAGCGTGGGTTGAGATGCGTTGTGACCTCGTGGATGTAGTGGGGGACGACTTCTCGCTCCCAGCTTTAATTAAAGCTATGGTTGGATGCGAAAGGGCGTGGAGTGCCGGCGTAATTTATAATAAATAATAATAAAAGTGGAGATAGTAATAGTAGAATAGGCGTAGGGAAGTGACGACCCCATCGCCCGCTGACGTAACAGTTAAGTAACAAAACTGCTACGTCGGCGCAGTCAGTCAGCGCCTTGCCAAGAGGTGTGAGCGCCGTGCCTCGGCAGAATTGAGGGTGCTAATTCGGGCCCGTTTGTGCTTACGGCCAAATCATGAAACGGTGCCGGGCCTGGGCGTCTCCCGTTAATTGACGCCCAATTTATGGATGATGGAAACGAATAGACCGCATATAGGGCCGCTGCCTTGGGGTCGCCGGGGCGCGTCTGGAGCTGGCGCTGGACGCGACAGCATGCGGACCACCTATTAGCCCCTCGCATCCATCATCCCCACCAGATGGCTTGGTGACGGCAGGGTCCTCTCGGACTCGGCAAGCTGCACCCGCCGCTGGTGGAGTACGCCGCATGCGTTGGACGAAGTAAATGTATACAAACGTATTGCGGGCGTATTTTAGGGCGAAAGGGGAAGAAATTGGAGGTTTTGCGTACCGGAATAGGATGCATCGACTATTTGCTGAACTGGAGCCGTCTATTACCGTTACCGAGCAAAACCTGGCAGACCGAGTTCGGTACATCATGCGCTCAAAAATATTTGATGACGCCGAACTTGAACGGCTACAACGTGAGGCTATTCCTTCATTGAATGAAAATACTACGACAGGTGATGCGACTCTACGAGTTGCAGAGCAACCCGCACACGTAGATGCCGCCGTAGATCTCCTTGTGGTTGTGGACTCAGGCGCCGATGGAATAGTCGCCCAGGAACAAGAGAAAATGAGGAGCATATTGGAAGAGGCGATTAGGGAAACGCGCAGTACGCGCGCGAGAATCGACCGCGACTTCCCCGTATACCTCTAAGCAAGCGGAATCGGGCTGTCGTGAGGGCTCTCAACCCAATGCTGGTGACCTATTTGAAAGCCTGCCGGGACCTTTGCGACACGGACTAAATTCTTTTTGGCGCCGCAATGGCAGTTTGCCGTATTATTGGCGCCAAACTTCCCACGGCTGGACGCGCTACTAGACACAGTAGCACCATCCCAGCCTGGAGAAGAAGGATTGAGGACCGTGTCGCAAAGGCAAGGGCCCTCATTGGCAGACTGATAAGCTTCAGGTCGGGCAATAATAGGCCGAGAATTGTACGCACCGTCAGGATGGCGTTTGCTGGGAGAAAATCTGTCGGAGCGCATAGACGACCTGAAGCAGAGAATCGCTGCTTGGGGGAAGCGGATTCGGCGATATACCGAGAGGTCGACACGGTTTAACCAGAATCGTCTCTTCTAGAGTGATCAGAAGAGGCTCTATGAATCATTGGAGCGACCAATGGTACGTGGAACAGGCCCAGCACCGAATCAGGCCGACACTATGGCATTCTGGCGCAGCCTGTAGTCAGAGCCCGTAAACAACAGCGAGGGCCCTTGTACGGAAGTTGTGGCGAGTTAGTGTGCGAAAGTAGTAGTAGCTGAGGCGGTCCGTAAGGACCCGAACTGGAAAAGTCCGGGACTCGACGGACTGCATCACTACTGGCTGAAGGGGTTCGTGGTGTGTCACGCTGTGCTCGCCCGACAGTTTCAAGAGGCTCTCGACCAAAAGTCGCTCCCGAGCCTCTTCATTACTGGGATCACTCATTTGGTTCCTAAAGACCGGGATTCCACAGACCCGAGCAAATACCGCCACATAACGTATCTACCTACCATATATAAGACACTAACATCCATTTTGAGCGCGAGAATCACTGGTCACCTGAACTCAAATCAGGTGATGTCGCTGGCTCAGAATGGATGTCGGGGTGGTGGTCGTGGAACCAAGGAACCACTCATCATTGACGCGCTCATTGGCAAGGTGGTTAAACGCAACCGTCGGAATCTCTCCGCCGCCTGGATAGACTATAAAAAGGCATTCGACTCGGTGCCTCATACATGGCTTAAGTGGGCCCTCGAGCTGTATAAGGTTAACTGTACCTACAGTTCGAGACTTCCTCGGGTAGTGTATGGGGCAATGGAGTACGATCATTTGTCATCTACGCGAGTGGATGACGGCTGCGGAGAACCACATAACGATAAGAAGGGGTATCTTCCAGGGTGATTGTTTGAGTCCAATCTGGTTCTGCCTCTCTGAACCCTCTCAGTACCTTACTGGAGGGTTCCGGGAGGGGATTTCAGCTTCGGAAAGGAGGTACGAAAGTGACCCACCCTTTTTATATGGATGATCTCAAATTATTCGCCTCCAGTCGCTCTCATCTTATGGACTTGCTAAACATCACTTGTGATTTTAGCAATTCTATTAGAATGGAGCTGGGGACGGATAAGTGTGCGGTCCTCCATGTTGAAAGGGGAAGGGTTGCTAACTCTGAGGGCATAGACTTATCTATGCCCATCAGCGTAAGGACCCTTTCCGAGGCTGAAACATACCGATACCTGGGTATGTCACAGAACATCGGTGTAGATGAGGCGGGTATGAAACTATCAGTTTGCGATGTGTTTTATGCACGCTTGACCAAAGTGCTTAACAGCCTTTTGTCCGGTGTGAATAAGACGCACGCATATAACGGTTGGATCATGCTTGTTCTCATGTATACCTTTGGCATGCTCAGGGGGACCGAACTGAATGCTCTGGACAGAAAAGTCCGCACTATAATGACATCCCACAGGATGCATCATACGAGATCGTTAGTAATGTACTTGCCGCGGAAACATGGTGGGCGCGACTTTTTAAGCGCTCTTACCATGCATAATCGCGAAGTGCGCAGCCTCTGTAATTACTTTCTGACGAGAGCGGATGTTGTTCGGCGCTTTCTAACTCTGAGTATTTGCACAGGCACAACTTAGTAGCCAGGATTCTACACCAGGAGCTCGCTCTTAAATACGGTCTCGTGGATTGGAAACTGCCGTATTATAAGTACTTGCCGGAAGCTGTGCTCGAAAATGTCCACGCCAGGCTCTACTGGGACCGGGCCATCATCACAGACAGGACTATTCTTGCGAATAAGCCTGATATTGTGCTGATGGACCGGGCTCAGTCAAGGATATTTTTGGTCGACATTACCATTCCTTATGACGAGAACCTCGCGAAAGCCGAAACAGATAAGCTGACAAAATATCTGGACCTTGCTTACGAGGTGACCGACATGTGGGGTGGATTGTCAGCCAAAATTATACCTGTAGTCGTCTCTGCAAACGGGTTATTCCAGTCAGCCTCTCGGGTCATCTGAGGCGATTGGGACTCCGTGATGGATCGCTCCAAGCCCAAATGCAGAAGGCGTGCTCCTCGATACCGCCCGCATCGTCCGCCAGTTTCTTTCCTTTTCCCCCTAACCCTCGGCCCTTTGGTCTCCCCTGCCGAGGCCTTCCATCTGGTTGGGTTTTTATATATTTATGTATTTATTTTATTTAATTGATATTTATGGTAGATTTACCATGTTTATTTACAATTATATATTTATATGGCCCAACCAGATGAGAAAACTTTATAGATACCACATAATAATAAAAGTAGACGAAAGTTATCCGAGCTTTATAATGAAAGATCATATAATCATAGTGTTATATTTAGAGAGTATGTAAAAACATATTCTAATTTTTTTAAAGTATGCTCCACAAATAAGGCTTTACATATAAGCAACCAAATTAAAGTTGCATCCGATAAAATTAAAGTGACATGGAGTGTCATCAATAGTGAAACGCGCAAGGTCAAACCACGCAACTCGGATTTTCAATACAATATTAACAATAATTTAACTTAATCTGATCAAGAAGTTGCTATGACTTTTGAGAAATATTTTACTGATGTTCCTTTTTTGACAACAAAATCATTAAATTCTTCTCCTACTGTCGCTGAATCGTTGCTTAAACAAAATGTAAAGCCTTTTTCAAATACTTTTCAATTTTATAGGGTATTTCCAAAAGATATCGTTAAATATTTTAAAACTATTGATGTTAAGAAAACGGCAGACTTATGCGGGATTTCCGTTGAAGTTATTGCATCTATAATAGATACAATAGCCCCTTACCTAGCCACAATTTTTAATACAAGCATCGAATCTGTCTACTGAAACATAGTAAAGTCATACCTTTATTTAAATCTGGTAGTACATCACAAATTTAAGACCAATTTCTGTACTACCAACATTGAGTAAAATTTTGAAAAAATTATTTCAGATCATAGGTTAAGTTTTTTTTAATATGATAAATTGCTTCATAAAAATCAGTTTGTTTTTACAAGGGGTCGCTTGACTACCGAACCTGGAGTCGAACTTATAAAACATATTTTTTGTGCATGGGAGAATTCAGACAATGCTTTGGGTGTATTTTGTGACCTTTTCGAGGCCTTCGACTGTGTTCACTGTGGTGCACTATGGTGTCAAGAACACAGCGCTTAAACTTAGTATTTCATATTTAAGTAATAGAATGCAGAAAATTATTATCAATGATAAAAGTTCTTCCGGGTTGTCCGTTTGTGAGTGTCCCTCAGGGCTCGATTCTTGGCCCATTCCTATTTTTGGTATATATTAATGACTTACCTTCCCTTGTCTATAATCATGATATAGTATTATTTGCTGATAATACTTCCTTGATATTTAAACTTAAAAGTCGATCATTTGAATGTGACGACGTGACTAATGCTATGTCAGAATTAGTGCATTGGTTTAACGTTAATAACCTGCATTTAAACGGCAATAAAACTAAATGTATTAATTTTACAACAACGAATGTTAAAAATCTGAATACCAATGTGTTTTTAAATGGGAAAGAACTGAGTCCTGTTGAATCCTCTGTTTTTCTTGGCATCACTCAACGCAAAGCTTCAATGGGGCCCCCATAAATCCAAGCTAGCAAGCATACTAAGCTCTGCAGCTCATGCTGTAAAAAAGATTAGGGATCTGACTAGTGTCGAGCCCGCTGGATTGGTTTATTTCAGTTATTTCCATAACATAATGTCTTATGGAATTTTGCTATGCGGAAATGCGACTGATTTAGAAACTATTGTTGATTTGTAGAAGAGGGCCATAAGAGGTATTTGCAACCTTAAACCGAGAGTCGCTTAGCGAAAAATTTTAAGAAATAAATATATTAACTTTGGCCTCTCATTATATTTACGAAAATTTAATGTATTTACACAGAAACAAAATAGTATTAGTAAAAAAAGTGATATACACCCTGTAAACACTAGGAATAAACACAAGCTAGTGATACCAGTCTCTCGACTCCATAGAGTCACTTATTCATTCCTTGGCCACTATTACAACAAAGTCCAAGAAAATATACAACGTATCTCTATTACCATGTTTAAATGTTTAATTAAACAAAAACTGTATAAAAAGGGTTATTATAATATAAATGAATACCTACATGGTTGAGAGTAACCCCTGGAAATGAGGTGGTCGCATCCAAGCTGGATCTACAATAAATTTTGTAAATAGTTTGTAATAATTTATATTGTAAAATTTATTTTTTTAAAAAGCCCCACTGGGCTTCTTGCTGGTTCTTCCCAGGACAGCGGATTTTTTTCGAACGAGTGGTAAAGTAAAAAAATTACTTTCAATAAGAATTATTTGTAATCAATATTGAATAAAAAATTATTCTATACTATTTTATTATATGGATCTAGAATGTTACTATTCACAGGTGCAAAACTAAATAGAAGTTAGTTTATGATATTCACGCCATGGACGAAGCTGATTAGGTCACTTTTATATGCATATAGCTCGAACAACCGACATCCTATAGGGAAAAAAGGGTCTCGAGTGGTAGCCCCGTACCGGCAGGCGAAGTGTAGGGCGACCCTCCACTAGATGGAGTGACGACCTGGTAAGACATGCAGGAAGTCGATGGATGCAGGTGGCTGAGGACCGTGCTTTGTGGCCTTCCTTGTGGGAGTTCTATGTTCAACAGTGGACTTGTGAAAGGCTGTAATGATGATGATGATGATATTGATGATATGCATATGTTTTAAGACATGCCTCTTTACCTGATGCTAGAAATAGTATAGTAGAGATCAACATTAAATCACGAAACTTTGTGATGTCGGTCATGATTTTTGCTTAAATCAAATACTTTTTTATAAAAGTTAAGTGACAAACGAACTTAGATATGCATATATATATATATATATATATATATATATATATATATATATATATATATATATATATATATATATATATATATATATATATATATATATATATATATTTCCTTACTTAATTCCTTACATATATGAAGTGAATAATTTCCTTTAAGTTCCTATAGTTTCCTTTCTTATAATCTATACCAATAAATAAAATTGAAGTGTCTGTTTGTAATGTCAAAATTGCAGACTTTTTACTAACTGCATATGAAAGTATGAACGGTACTTATAACAAAAATACACTTTTTTAAATTTTTCTTTTTGTCTTTCTGTCTGTCTGTTTGTTCCGGCTAATCTCCGAAATGGCGGGACCAATTTTGACGGGACTTTCACTGGTATATAGCTGATGTTATAAGAAGTAACTTAGGCTACTTTTATTATAGAAAAATAATTTAGATTCCTTGCAAAAAAAATTGAAACCCTAAATTGCATGCGGGCGAAGTCGCGGGGAACATCTAGTTGGTAAATAAAATTCATTATCTCGTGTCAATAATACATATATTAGCGTGATTAAGTGTTTATGTTAAGCATCTGTCTCCTTGCTTATTTAAATGAAATGTGTCTGTTGTCATTCATTAAACTACTTATAATTCGATAACTCCCGTTTTGAAGCATCAAATACGGCCTAAAGTATTTCTTGGTAAAACTACAATCTAAGAGAAATAAAATCAAGTCTCTAGTACTCTACGTAAGTAGTCATAATCACAAGTAAGGAGACCTACATTGTTAATACTTATGTTACAAATTGGGTATTTTAAGCTAGAAGTGAAACAGTCCCTTCGACTTTGCTGTTCAAAGTTTAGACTGAAAGTGGATTACTAATTTGGAACAGATATATCTAATATATAGCATCAAGCCTGTAATTTCTGAGGGGGTATGCGGAGTTCAATGAGCAGCGAGGTACTCGGATCACGTATAGTCAAAAATTAAAGGTTTAGATGGAAAATTGTTAAAACAATGTTAGGTGGTTAGTTAATAGCCTACTTAATCACAAACCAACTATCCCATTAGTTGCTTTTTCGATATGCTAGACAAGTAACACAGTTGATATATAAATTTTTTTGAAGTAGACTTTCAAAAAAAAAGGTCTACAAGTCCTAGGCCAACTTGGGGTTAATACAACATTAAATACTTATTTCTATACGATTTAGTGATTCTTCTGTGCTTGTGTTGTTAAAAAAACAAGCGCTAAGCGAATATTTTGGTAAATTATTAGGTTAATTAATAAATGATGCAAAGTCTAGAGAGTATCTTTTTGATAGCAAGTGAACGCTATGGCCCATTGTCAACTACATTATTATGTCGTATAATAATCGAAATGCATTATGCGTTGTTGACCCTGAGGACTAAGTACCTAATTTCCTCTAGAAAAAGTTGTATTTGAAAAATAATAAATATATAATAGTAGATTTAATTACGATCTTATGATTGTAATTAAATCCGCGTTAATTATACATTATTAATTATTATTATTATTCATAATTAATTACATTATTATTATTGTTATTCATAATTAACTACATTACATTTATATACATAATT